AGTCATTGCTATGTGTCCTAGTTTGTGCTTTTTGACAATTGACCTTGTGAGTTCTTGTAATTTCTCGTGCATTGCTTAAAGTTCTTGGGTGAAACATACAAATGTGTGCTGCAAACCCAGGATTAAGGCCTACCGTGTATGTCTACACTAGATAATCTTTAAAAAGCCTAACCTTACAAGCAATGGCATCAAAATCATTATCAAAGTCATCTAAAGAACCCGTTTAGTGAAGGTTTATTAAGTCCTCCATTAGTGCTTCAAATTGAGACCTAGATTGAGTCTTTAACACCTTTGCATTCTCGGCCCAGGTTTAATGTGCATCTATATCTGCCAAGACTATTGTTTAAAGCCATTGAAAGGCTTTTTCATCCAAGTGGATGCTTGTTAAGGTAACTTAACAATCTTTTAGTGTATTATCATTTTGAAAGTTGAATTCACATTTTAAAATCTAACTCAAAATGTCATCTCTTTGAAATGAGGAAAATCCATTTTGGTAAAGCTGGTATGGGGTCGGTAGTTGTTGGTCTCTTGGTGATGACACTCTCAATGGTGACTATTACTTGCTCATTCCCCATCTGGAGATTCATTATGCCCTCTAGTCATTTGAGCCACTTGATTGGTAAGGGCTTGTACCATAGCTGGAAGATTCAGCATCTTGGAGAACACATCTTCTAAGGCACGGAGATGGTCATTGAAGTGATTTGCCATAGTTCTTTGATGTTTTTAGAGGTGATTTTCTAGCATACAAGTCGAGTATCATTAGCTCTAATACCACTAATTTATAAGGAAGAGAAGAATGGTGAAGAATAGGAGAGAGACAAAGTAGCGAGAAAGAATTGAGAGATAGAAAAGAGTTCTTGGAATAATACTTGAAAAAATTTCATTAAGTATAAGAGACTAAGTACAATCATACAGCCTTTATATAGGGAAGAGTCAGACTCTAAGGCTATCTAAAATGACTAATAGCTAAATGTCAACGACTAACTAATTCACTTAATAACCTATTTCTCTGTTTATTATGATTACGCATAAGCAGTTATTATAAATGCTTTTACAATAATAGAACTAGGCCTTTCTCTTTGTCTCTCTTTCATTTCTTTCTCTTTGTCCTATTCTCCTTTACCCTCTCTTCCCTTCCACGTGATTATTATGTAACATATTATGTTCCAAATAATTGATCAGGTGAAAAGATTATATTTGAATTCTAAATATCCTTTGATGTTTGATTTTCAAATTCAAGACTACTTTTTATATAGGAGTCTCAACTTTGTCTTGTATTATATAAAAATTCTAGTTGTTTATCAAATTTTTATCCTATGATTTAATCATAGAATTTAAAATTCTGAATTCTAAGTTTGGTAACATGCAAGTAAACTTTCATTGTAGGTGTTAATTTTTTAAAAAAATATTTCTTAACCTTTGAATTCTAAATTTAATTTCATTTTTTTATATTCTCACATATTTTCTTTTTTTCCTTAGAAAATAAAATCCAATTATGAATATAGGATTAGTAAAATGAAAGTCCAATATGGGGTGTATATAGGATATATATTGGGAACAATTCCTTTAAAGAAAAAATCAGTTGCAGTATTTTAGAAGTATCAAAGAGTAATACTGCTCAATACCAATCGTATTATATCAAATGCTTTTCCTAAAGCTGCAATCAAAGTATTTTTCATAGATGGGTGCTTTGTTATCTTGAAGGAGATATTTTAAAGTTTGATACTCCTCCTTATATCAAAGTTGCAGTGGAGATTTAAAGAGATGGTTTGAATATATCAAATTTGGTTTGAAAATTTACTCAGGTTAGTATAGCTATTCGTATATGTCATTTATTACTTATGTATTCTTTTTATTTTTTATTCTTGTGTTTTCCTTGTAGGGGTATTTTCAAGTCATTGGAAAAATTTCACCCTATTTTTTTTCATGGTAATTGGGTAGATGGCATAGCAATTATAAATGGTGAGAAAAAGTTTTATAATATGAAATATCTTAGTACATAATATTCAATATCTATTTTTTTATTTCAATTAGCTCTATTTCTTTTTAGTTAATGTTTTTGTTTCTTTTTTTTACAGAAAATAAAGAGAACAAAGAAAATGTTTTTTAATATGTTTTTTCTGACAAGTGATATTAGAGCCTGGTTCTCAATTGAAAATTTTTAATATGTTTCATCTTGTTTAAACGTATTTTTTTGTCCCCTCTTTTTTGGACAAGTAAAAAACGATTCTCCTTTTTAGAAGGAGCTTATGATTTATTTTGGACGGAGAAGCTTTTTTCACATTATGGGTTTGATGATAAAAAGCTTTTGTACTATTTTAATAAATACTTTGATCATTTTTTGAAGTGATGGTCTTGTCTTGAAGGACCTTTCAAAAGAGTATTTGAAAAAACTTTTGAAGAGAACGCATAATCGATACATGTGGCTCTTATGGAATCAATTCAATTTTGGCATAATTGTAAGCATCATTTCAACGATAATCAAAAACAGAACTAGATACCTATAAGTAATCCCTTTTTTTTTGTGCAAGTGTGTGTGGACTAAAGACGATGTGGGAAGTCTCACATTAGATAAAATTAGACTTAATAACTCATATATAATAAAGAGGAAGGACCCTTAAACTTAAGCCTTGAAATTTTAAGTTAAAATGTGGCATCCTTCTACTGCTCTTGCCAGTCTCTCCTCTCCTTCCGTTCCTAAGTAGTTGTTTCACATTTCTATCAAGTGGTATCAGAACCTGGTTCTTAATTGAGAATTTTTCATATATTTTTCTTATTTAAACATTTTTTTTATTTTTGCATACAAGAGACAATAAGTTTTTTCATTCCCTTTTTTTAAACAAGTAAGGAACAATTCTCCTTTTTAGAAGGAGCTTATGATTTATTTTGGACGGAGAAGCTTTTTTCACGTTATAGGTTTGATGATAAAAAGTCTTTGTACTATTTTAATAAACACTTTGATCAATCTTTGAAATGGTGGTCTTATCTTAAAGAATGACCTTTCAAAAGAGTGTTTGAAAAAACTTTTGAAGAGAATGCATAATCAGCACATTTGGCACTTATGAAATCAGTTTGATTTTGGCGTAATTATAGGCATCATTTCAACGATAATCAAGAACAGAACCAGATACCTCTAAGTAATCCTTTATTTTTCTTGGTTGTGAAGACTTAATTTTGTCCTTAAAATAGCAAATAATTTTTGAAAATAATCAAAAAAGGGTTGGCTTTTGAAACTCATTTATAAACTTGTTGATATTCATTAATCATTCTTAATTTTATGGCTACCTCTCCTCCCATTCCCTAGTAATTGCTTCTTATTCCTAACAAGTAAAATTAGAGCTTGGTTTTCATTTGAGAATTTTTAATTTTTTTTATTTAAATGTATTTTTTTAAAATTTTTGCTTACAAGAGATAAATTATTTTTTCATCCCATTTTTTTTACAAGTAAAGAACGATTCTCCTTTTTAGAAGGAGCGTATGATTTTTTTTAGATGAAGAAGCTTTTTTCACGTTATGGGTTTGATGATAAAAAGCCATTGTACTATTTTAATAAACCCTTTGATCAGTCTTGGAAGTGGTGGTCTTATCTTGAAAAAGGACCTTTCAAAATAGTATTTGAAAATTTTTTTAGAGAGAACACACAATTGATATATATGGCTCTTATGGAATCAGTTTGATTTTGGCATGATTGTAGGCATCATTTTAACGATAATCCAGAATAAAACTAGATATTTGTAAGTAATCTCTTTTTTTTTTGTGTGCAAGTGTGAGTGGACTAAAGACTTGAGGTTTTAAGTTAAGATGTGGCGTCCTTCCATTGCTCTTACCCGTCTCTCCTCTCCTTCTGTTCCCGGGCGATTGCTTTGCATTCCTAACAAGTAGTATCAGAGCCTGATTCTTAATTAAATTTTTTTATGATGGCTACTATTACAAAGTTTGACATTGAGAAGTTTGATGGCAAGATTAGTTTTGCTATTTGGCAAGTTCAAATGAAAGCTATTCTTACTCACAATGGGTTAAAGAAAGCTTTACTTAGAAAGGATAAAAAGCCAATAACTATGTCTGATAAGAAATTTGAAAAGTTAGATGCAAAAGCTCTTTTGGTTATTCAACTATGCCTTTCCAAGGAAGTTTTATGAGAAGTAGTTAATAAGCTAAGTACGGCTTCATTATGGTTGAAGCTAGAATCTCTCTATATGACGAAAAGTTTAGCAATTAAGCTTCGTCTCAAAGAATGACTATATATCATTCGTATGGTTGAAGATACTCCTATTCAATCTCATTTTGATGAATTTAATTCGATTATTTTGGATTTAAAAAACATTGATGTCAAAATTGAAGATAAGGATAAAGTTGTTTTGTTGGTTGTCTCATTGCCTCCTCCTTATAAACATTTCAAAGAAATTATGCTCTATGAAAATTCAGATACTTTAGCCTTTGAAGATGTAAAATCTAATTTATTGTCCAAAGAAACTTGAAGTTTATTTTAAGGACAAAGGTGAAGTTTTAAATGTGGGGGAGAAGTGATGAAAAGGGAAGTACCAAAAAAATTTAGATTTAAGTCTAGGAGACATAAATCCAACAATAATGATAAACTTGTAATTATTGCAAGTTAAGTTATGAGACATCTCAATGTTGTAGACTTAAAAAGAAGCGTGAAAGAAAAGAACAAAATAAGCAACCTTAAAAATCATCTGCTAAAGCTAGTGTTATTGAGATGGAGTCAGATGGTGATGTTTTGTTGTTCATTTCCTCTATTGATAGGAGGAATAGAACTGACTAGTTTCTTAATTCTACTTGCACTTTTCATATATGTCCTCATAAAAATTGATTTACCACTCTTGAACCTGTTGACCGTGGTATTGTTTTGATGGGTAATGATAATGAATGTAAGATTCTAGAAATTAGTAGAGTGCAGATCGAGACTCATGATGGTATTATTAAAACTCTTTTTGATGTTCGTTATGTTCCTAAGGTAAAAAGGAGTTTAATCTCTTTAGGTACTCTTGAATCTCAAGGGATAAGTATTCAGCTGAATGCGGAGTTCTTAACGCTACTAAAGGTTCTCTACTTTATATGAAAGGTAATCATCATGATACTCTTTATGTCTTGCAAGGTTCTATTGTTACAAATTCAATGGTTGTTTCAACATCCATGCTTGATGATTCTCACATTACCCAATTATGGCACATGCGATTGGGCCATATAAACAAGAAAGGTATAATTATTTTAAATAAGAAAGGTCTTTTATATGGTCAACGTATTGGTAAATTGGAGTTTTACGAACATTATATTTTTAGGAAATAGAAAAGAGTTAGTTCTCTTTTGCAACTCATAACACTAAAGGTTTTCTTGACTATGTACATTTTGATCTATGGGGACCTTCAAAATATTCTTCTATTAAAGGATGTCTTTATATGATAACTATGATTGATAACTATTCTCATAAAATTTGAGTTTATTTTCTTAAGCATAAAAATGAAGCTTTCTCCATTGGAATCATCCTCTAATGGAGGATGTGATGATCAAATATATGATGATGTTACAAGTACCACTTTTGTTATCTATCAAGAGCAAGAATATTCTATTGCTCAAGATCATCCAAGAAGGGATATTAAAAGGCCTGCTCGATACACTAATGATGAGTTAGTTGCTTATGTATTTTCTATTGCACAAGAGATCCCTAAATGTATTGAGCCTTCTAGTTATTCTGAAGCTATTTCTTGTGCTAATTCATCTAAGTGGTTATTAGCTATGAATGAAGAAATTGAGAGTCTCCACAAGAATGGTACTTGAGACTTATATGAACTTCCTAAAGGCAAGCAAGCTTTAAGTTGTAAGTGGATATATAAAAAAAAAAAAAAGATGGTATCCTTAGGGTTGAGGATGCAAGGAGGAAGGCACGATTAGTTGTTCGAGAATGTCATCAAAAGGAAGGTGTTGATTTTAACAAGATTTTCTCTCCAATTGTTCATCACACCTCCATTCATGTACTACTTGCATTTACTGCTTTGTTTAATTTGGAGCTAAGAAAACTTGATGTTCAAACAATATTTTTAAATGGAGAACTCAATAAAGAAATCTACATGAAGCAACCTGAGGGATTTGTAATTCCTAAAAAGGAACATTGCATTTATCGCTTGAAGAAATCTTTATATGGTGTAAAACAAGCTCCTAGGAAGTGGTATAAAAGGTTTGATGCTTTTATAATTGGGCAAGGCATCAATAGAAGCAAATATGATAATTTTGTTTATTTTAAACAATTTTTCCAAGAGTCCTTTTTGTATTTGTTGCTCTATGTCAATGATATGCTTATTGCTTCCAAAGAGAAATCTTTGATTAACAAATTAAAACAACTTAGTAAGGAGTTTGATATGAAAGACATTGGTGTAACAAAGAAAATTCTTAGCATGGAAATTCATAGAGATCATCAAACTGGTAAATTATTCGTATCTCAAAATAAATATATTTTAAAGATACTTGATCAATTTAATGTGAGTGAGTGTGAACTTGTGTCTACTCCTCTTATTGCTCATTTTCAATTATCTGATGATCTTTGCCCAGAATCAGAAAAGGATATTAAAAAAATGTCAAGAGTTCCTTATTTAAGTGCTGTTAGTAGTCTTATGTATGCAATGCTATATACTAGACCTGATCTTGCATATGCAGTAAATGTGGTAAATTGGTACATGCACAGTCTTAGAGAGGGTCATTAGGATGCTTTTAAGTAGATCCTCCATTATTTGAAAGGTACTTCCAATTTTGGTTTGGTATTTGAAAGGAATAAGGTTGTATCTAATAATGTTGTTGGTTTTACTGACTTTGATCATGGTTGTAGTTTTGATTGATGAAAGTCTTTTTTTGCTTATATTTTCACCCTTTGTGGCTGTTCTATTAGCTATGAGCATCTCTCCAATCTATTTATGCATTATCCTTAATTGAAGCAGAGTATATAGCAGCAACTGAGAGTATAAAGGAAGCTATTTGATTGCAAGGTATTATTATCGAACTTAGTGTTGCCTAAGGAGTTACTAATGTTTTATGTGATAATTAGAGTAATGTTCATTTGACAAAGAATGATAGGTATCACTCAAAAACTAACCACATAGACATCAGACATTACTTTATTAGAAATAATGTTGCAATTGGTGAGATTGTTGTGAAGAAAATTCATACTTCTCAAAATCTAGTAGACATGCTTGCGAAGCCTCTTCTTGATATTAAGTTTGAGCATTGCTTAGGCTTGGTTGGTATTCCCAGCACTTGACTGCCCTTTAGGGCTACTCAGCAATTACGAGCATTATTGAATTTAAGTCAAGGGAAAGTTTGTTGAGATTATAACTCAAATTTTTATAATCCTTTATGATTATTTTTACATATTATCTTGATATAAATATATCATATCTCTATTTAATATTTTAGGAGATATTTATTATTATTCAAAATAATATTTTTAGCTAATGAAAAGCTCTATATTTATCTTGTCTCTCCATCTCCCATAGAAAAGACAATTATTATAATTCTCATTTTCTGTAGTGAAATTACTTATTCATTGGTCGTAGGTTTGTTACCCTCAAATTAGGGGTTTTCCTACGTTAAATTTATTGTGTCGTCTTTTGTCACTTTCTCTAACTTCTTTATAATTTTAAATTATTTTATCCTATTTACTTTCGCTGATTATTTGCTCACTTCCTAACAACTTGCATGTTAATAAGCTGCTTTATTATTCGCATGGGCAATTGTAAAAGATTGAGGTAGTCTATTCTTACACCTAAAAAGGGTGAAAGTATTGGTTGAATCATGTAGTTCATGTTACATTTGTCAATGAGGTCGTGCTCAAAACAATTACATACGTAAATTGTATAGCATATAGTTGCAATTCGATGATTTTTCAATCAATTAGCATAAACTGATTTTTACTTCCATTTATCACAGTTAGGCAAGAGTTAGAGCCTAGAAAGGCTATTGATGGGGGTAAAGATCATAGAATTAAGCTTTGCTCATGTATAATAAATTATCTGACAATATTTTTGAAAACTTGTGAGCTTTTAAGAGTAAATGTTGTGCATTTTTAAGGGATGGTCGTAGGAATGATATGTGGGGTGCAAGAGATGCAGGCTTAGCTTTGGGGAAGCGATCTTCACTCGTTTAAGGTGACTTTTGATATCAAGTGAAAATAAAGTGAATTTGACAGTAGCTAGCAGAGAAGGAGTATAAAACATGTCTAGAGTAAAATTGCTTTAAATTTGCAATATGCCAGATCTAATGATCAAATGGGAATAAGAACATTATAGAAGTTGAACATCAATTATGTGCCAAGATTTTTTTTCCCCTTATGATCTTCATCTGTGTGTGTATGCCATTACTGCTATTAACAAATAGAAAATGTCTTGTTCATAAATCACAGCTCATCTAATGTGCTCAAAATGTTGTTTTCCAAATGTCTCTCAACCAACATAGCACATCAAATTAAATAAACAATCAAATGTTTCTCAAATGTTTGGTTTTTGTTTTTATTCTTTTCTTTGTTGTTTTCCTTTTCTAAATCGCCTTGTGATTGTTATGCTTTCCTTGATTTATTTCTTAAGGAGCATACTTTCTGAAAGATTAGCCCTTCAAGAAGTTTATTATTTTCCATGCATGCATCTTGTAGAGATTAAATGTTTGATCAACGGGAGATAATATTCATGATATAATCATAAACTACTATCAATTATAAAGTAGCCAAATTTGACAAAATTAAAGAATGTTTATGAAAGGTGAGAAGCAACCATTGTAGTAGAACTAGGATAAGGTTTTAATGGAAACAGAGAGCGAACTAGTTGAACTTGAAAGTGATTGCCTATTTGCCTTGCACTGGACATCAACATAGCTAAATCAATAAAGAGTGGGCCCAATCTGCAGCAAGAGTGAATTGACAATGACGAAAGTTGCATCCTTGAAGAGAAGCCTCTGCTTTCAGATATTGTGGCGCCAAAAATACTCATAGGAAAATATTAGAGCAGTGAAACAAGTCCTCTCGACGATGACCCTTTCATAAGGAGGGCTTCAGAAATTTTTTTTTTTTTACATGATTTCTTCAGTAACTTAGAAAAGGAACCTTTTAGAGTACCATTTCCTTTCAATAACTTAGAAAAGGTTGAAGGAAGAGTTAGCCATAAAGGGATAAGATTATAATAATCTCAATAGCAAAACTCGCATTTACTTATTATGTATATGGCCAACTCAAATATACAAATATGCCTCATAAACACACATTAATCTTGATAAAATAAGCATGAAGAAGGAAACATGCATCATGCTAAAATTTTGAGTTTAAATCTGCTAAGGCTAGATTATATTCCAATGACTACATATATCGAAAAAACTAACTCTTTCAAAAACAACCAAGACATGCACATACTCACATCAACTTACTCATACAACCAAGTACATATAAGAGAAAACTGCAGGATTGCTACCTTGGTTTTATTACTAGTTTCGGACAGCTTGTACATGCACTCTCTCTCTTATTTTTGAGTCCTCACTACTACAGAGAAGGAAATTAACATCACCTTTTAATGTCAGTTATTACAAAAATTGATGTTAAAAAAAGGCAGTGGCATATTTGTAAATATATGGATAACATTTAACGTCGATTATTCAAAAAACCATAGTGGAAAGATATTTCACATCGAGTATTAAATAAACTGATGTGGAAAACAATGTAAAAAATAAATCAGATAAATTTTTTGTATTTCATGTCGATTGTTATTAATAACCAACGTTAAATAATACTTAAAACAATAAAAAAATTAATATCTTTTAACATTGATTTTACATTAAAACCAACGTTAAAAGACTTTATAATAAAAAAAATTTAGTAATTCACATCGATTCCATAAGGAACTGACATGAATAAGGGAAACCACATCGGTTTCCAAGACAACTGATGTGGTTTCCCTTGTTAAAAGCTGTGTTCTACGTATTTTTCTTCCCATTTCAATTTCACGTTTGGTCCAGTACTAAAAGGTCACACCTTTTCCCTCTAATGCCTCCATCTAGAACCTCTGGCCACTGTGGGTCTACCATCTACAGCTGTGGGTCTGCCTTTTCCCTTCATTGTAGCTTTCTCCCTCTTCGTTGTTCCTTCTTCCTTCTTCTTCCTCCATTTTTACAAGTTAGAGATCTCTCCCTTTTTTTTCCTCCTTCCCTCTTCCGTCTTCTTCCATTGTTGTTAAATGCTCATCTATTTCAATAATTTTTGGTCTTTTATTGCTTTAAAGTTCCAAATTTCTTCTTCAGCCTTCCTTTTCCATTGTTGAAGATTTGAGTTTCATTTTCTTCTTTGCATGTGAGGTATTTCAAGTAAGTTTCATTTTTTTCAAATTATTTTCTTTGATTTTTGAAATATTTATCTTAAATGGATAGATTTATATTGAAATTTTATGAATTTGTAATTATAATTGTTGATATTTCAAATTTGATACTGTTGCTGAAATTTATAAATTTTTTTCTTGAAAATTTGATATTCCTGAATCTATGTTAGAATTTAAAAATAGCTTAAGATTTTAGTTGATTTAGGTTAAATTTGATTGTTGAAATTTTGAAATGTCATATTTTCAGGGGAAATGCTGTTGAATTTTTTTTCTAGCTTGATAATTTGATAAAAATATAATTGCAATAATAAAATATATATTCTTTTATATAATCAAAATTTTTGAATTTTTGTGTTTTTTCTGTTAAATTGTTATATATACGTGTTTAGAAAATGCTTGGGATTATATTTTTTAAATTGTTATTGTTTGGGAGTTTGATTTGAAATTGCTTAGAATTATATTATTTGAATTTAATTGTTGTTGAAATTTATGGAGGTTCTATTTTAAGGAAAAATTTTACCAAATTTTTTTCTAAGTTTTGAAAAATTTATATTTTGGTAGTTAGAGAGAGTTGGTCTCAAGTAGTACTTTAGACCACCTCCACGAAGCTCTTATAGAGGTATGTCTAGAGATGAGATCTATTAGTTGGTGGCCAAGGTTAGGGATGATACTCGAGCTAACGTTCGAGAAGAGGCTAGACAAGAGATTTGAGCTGAGGTTCAACAAGAAGTCAAGTGAGAGTTTTGTGAATTGTTTCGGGAAGACATGATGGTCCAACTTCGTAAAGAGATGAAATCTATGGTTACTGGCATGACAATTCCAGGAGTTGATATTACACCTTAGGTTTGTATTTAATTTAACGGTTATATAGATTTATGTTTAATTTAATTTAACATAGATTTGCATTTCATCCAGACATCTCCTGTTGTACCAAGCACAAAAGGTATCAATAATCCACGGGGACAATGGCACCAGCACTAGTTAATCCTAATCCTCTTATACCAGATGACAATGATGGAACTTCTTGTTATCTTTATCTAGAGATTCCAAAAAAAATGTATTGTTGCCGAAGGTCAAGTATACAAGTTTGGGTCCACAATTCATCATCAGAAGATTAAAGCAGATCAAGTTAGGGTGACAATTACACGTGTTCAAAAGAGTAAGAATAATGTACACGTGCCATTTTCCACTTTTGAGCTTACAACAATAGGCCAAGCAAAAGGTTCTTTCATTCTATGGCTTAAACATCTTGTGTCAGAAATTGATGCAACATCGCTAGAGGTAAATAGCAAGTTAATATTATCTTATTTTCTTTCAGTTAATTAATTACCTATATAACTCATTCATTTTATGTTTTAATAGGAACCTAAAAATGCTATTCAATTTCCCTACTTGGCACAGCTATATGAAATTTACAAAGATATGACGGAAGGCATTATTGTTAAAATGCCATTAGAGGTCATAACTATTGAAAGGAGATATGATTTTGCATTCAACAAGAGAGATCTCAAGGAATTCCTAAATTTAAAGGAGCTAGACATATCATGGACTAAATTGAGAATCTTGTAACTTTTCTATATACCTTCTTCATTTTCTTTTCCATTTCATTTACTACTAACATTTTCATGTCATTTCAATAATAGGTACCTCTACAATATTTGTTGTGCAATGGAAAAACAAAACACATTTGGATTTTTGTGCCCGAAAGCTATGCCAAAAGCTCACAATGTAGTACATAGAATGATGACATACATGATAAATCATATGTCAGATATGAAATTGTCATGTTATCTAGCACCAATTATTACTAGGCAAGCATTTGTTATTCATGCATGTGTATGTGTGTGTATATATTCGTGTTATTTAATACCTATTTAAATTTTTATATGATATAGTTATCATTAGTCACTTTATGTTCTATGCCCAAATCAAAATGAAGTATACTGGTTTTGTTCTTTGGGGAAAAAACTAAGTGAAGAGCTCATATGGATTTTCAACAAGTTTTAGTTTATATAAAACTTTAATTCATGAGATATTTTTACTTTTGTAATGTGTTTTCATTTACAAATGATAATAGTGCACTTGAGACATATTATATGCTCACTCTTGGGGAATGCAAGCCAAAATCATCGGTGAAATGGATTTATCCAAATGTAAGTATATGTGAAATTTTAAATTTTATATTTAATTATTCCTCATATTTAATTTTTAAATATTCATTTATTTCAGTGCTATAGGCAGCCAGGAAGCACAGAATGCAAATATTATATTATCCATTACATGCATGAGATAGTTCAAATTGGGACTACAGAAAGATTACAAGAAATATTTTATTTTTTATTTTAATTTAAATTCTTATATTTAATTCCATATATAAAGTATTATTCTAATAAATTTTATTATTTAGATTTTTGAAAATATGGAGTCCTATAATGTAGAAGAGATTGATGGCATTCGAGATGTATTGGCTCAACAATTTTTACAAAAATATTGTTCGAAGTGAACAGAGGTTGAACAAAATTTTATAGTATTTTAGTAGTTAAATAATTATATATATAGATTAACATATTAGTTTTATGGAGAACATATTAATTTAATTTATTTTATAAATATATAGTATAGTTGAATATTCATCTTGAATATGCTGGTTGGCTATTTATATTTTTGTATAAACTATAAAATTTGCAAGTTTAAAAGTATGGATGTCAAGAAAAACAAAATAAAATTTAAAAAAAATTAACAATGGTTATATTGAAAATTGATGTTAAAAAAATTTTAACATCGATTTTTATCAATTAACCGATATAAAAAGTGGACTTTTCACTATCTTATTTTTTATTTTCTCTTTATAATTGACATAAAAAATTGAAAATAATCATTATAAAAAGTCCATCTTGCAGCGGTGACTCCTTCGATTCCTCTTTTATTTTTCTTCACGCACACCCATTCTCTTTATCTCGAAAAGCGGAACCAAAATGAAATGATAAAGAAGTGAAATGCCATTGCATATATTTAGAGATATTGAAAGGAGAGGATGATTCGGTGGCTATATCAAAATTTGACAAGTAAAATAAATTTTGATTGAAGGAAATTCCTAACTGCTGCCACCTATTCATTTCATGCCACCTAATGCATCATTCTCCACTTCTCAACTTAGTTTGCATAATCAAATAGTATGAAGATAAGTATGACCGTATAAAGAAGGGAAGTAAAGGGTCGGTACATGTTTTTCTAATAAATACTTATTTTAATAATTACTTGACACTTGAGCTATTTCTTTCCTTTGCTACTTTCTCCTTTCTCTCTTTCTTGTAACTTTAAGTAGTTTATTCATTTGATAAATTAGCTTTTTATGAAATGTAATCTCTTGTTCTTTATTCACATAACCTTTATTACATCATTTCTTGTTTATGAGATCATATTAGAGACATAACACTTTGTATTATACTTTTTACATGTGATACAACACTTTCTCTCTTATTTCCACAAATTTCAACAATAGAGGGTTCACTCTTGAGGCGTTGGATGAAATCAAGGGCTTTGGGCAAAGTTATGACAAACTAAAATATTGTATTAAGGGGTTAGGAAGATTGTTGTCTTACTAGAATGAGATGGACAAATACATCATGCAATCAGTGCCTAAACCATATATATCCATAATGACATATGAATTCATTGCAAATATTGTAAAAGATCCAATGAAAAGATTTCTTTTATCCCAACATTTTGTTTTATTAAGATTCCTCCTGGCCTCTCGCCACATAATACCATTTTCTTCGTCCTCTTAATTTAATTTGATGCCACCTAATCTCTTTACAATCCTTACTCAAGGGATGTTGCCACCTAATACGTCTTCTCTTCTCTCTTTTAATTTTCGTTCATGACCACCTATTTCCATTTAACCATAGCTAATATATAAATTTGGTGGCACATAAACATGTTCCTCTTTTCTTTTCTTAGTCGTCCCTAATTTTTCATTTGATTCCCACCCATTCTTGACTTAATATCTGTTATTTCTCCTTTAAGTTATAAGTAGGAAATATATCTCTTTTAATTTTTCTCATATTGGGATGTATCTTTTTCTTATTTAAATACATGGTAAATGTTAATTACCATAAAATAACTCATTAGACTTGAATAAATATTAATAAATATTTGTCATCTATAATTTTGTACTTCTCCTTCTTAAAATATTATTTTGAAGCCCTAAGAATACAACTGACCAATTTATTGTGATTAGGGTTCTTTCGATTCATATAAAACTCAAGGTGTCACTTGGTTAAAATCATGAATATTTATAATTTAGTTCTCGTTAGCATTGACTTTCTTTTCCTTAATTTTCTTGCATATTCTTATGCATCTCTTAACTTGACTGAACACTTCTTGTGTCTCCACCTATCGTAATTTAAAATTCAATAAATTATATCTAATAATTGGACACGTGTAAATTTTTAAAAATTATTTAATTATTGAGATTTCTCTTTTCTCTTTCACATTTTTTGAGTGTATTTTTGATCCATCTTTTAACTCATTTCTAATTGAAAAAATGGTATACTAATCAAAACTTTTTACCTACACCTACAAGCACTTAGGTTTAAATTTTAGGATGTTATAATTCTTTTTCTCTCAATAAAAATTTCATTCTCAAAATTCAGGGTTTCTCCTTATGAATCACCTTTCCTTTATTTGTTTTTTTTTTACTGTAGGTTACCTTATTACGAAACTGATGAAGAAAATTACTAATTTTTCCATCTAAGTAACTTATCATTTCCTTCTCTTTCTTTGATAGTGACCACAACAATGGATTAAAGAAGCTCGGCAGATGGCTTGTGTCGATGCATTGCCCAGTCGAGTGGCTTAAAGATAATAAGTGAGCACAGGTTAAAGCATGCAACAAGTGCATGAAGACGAGTTAAATATAAGTGAACTCACAAGAAAAGAACGAAAACACCCTGAGAGGAAGAGCCAACCTTTCTTTCAAATCACATCATGACGTGACTTGCATAAAAGAAAGAAAAGAAGAGTTCAAGCCGAACATCAATTAAATTAAAATAAACAATTAACGACCTTCTCTATTATGCGAGAAGTTTCTCCGGCTTACGAAGATTCTTCCTACTCTAGTAGGGGTCTGAATTCAGGGCAGGGCTAGCACATCACTGGTTACTAATTAGATTGACGAAATAATAAAATTTTCATTTTACAATTTTAATTATCAATTATCAATTTAATCATTCAAATTTAATTTTTAATATATTTTTAAATATTCATGTGAGTACTTTAAATTTTAAAACAGAGAGTAACTCTCAAACTATAGTCTAATATGTTAAATATATTATTAAAATATTAAATGTTAAAAAATATAAAGTATTTTTAATCTTTTGAAGTATAATCATTACTTTTTTTTAAAAGTATCCCTATTAATAATAACTTTATATTTATTGTAGGGTGTTTAGTAGAAATAAATATAGAAATATAGAGTTAATTAAAAAGTAAGTAACTACTTTATTGAATGAGATTCGGTTAAAAATACCTTATATTTTTGAACGGAGAGAGTATATGTAACTAAAAAAAAGAAATTAACTCTCAAATTAGTTAATTTTTTTCAATATAATCCCTTATATTACATTTTTGTTTTTTTAGTGTTTTTTCCTAACCAAATAATTACTCTTCTCTTATTGAATTTGCATGATTCTCAATAACAGATGTAAACTTAAGAGACTAAATTAATAAAAAATAAACTTGATAGAAACTAATAGCTGAAACAAATTTGATAAATTAAAAGTTGTATAATAATAATGTTTGCAAAGCCTGCTTCGGCTTCAAATTTAATGCAAAAAACTAAATAAGAAAATTGATGGGTTTGGTGGCTAGGATGCATGGACAAGTGTGGAAATGTCATTTAGTGGCAAAAGAAACAAAAGGTTGCAAAAGCATACAAGCATCAAACTTAAGACATCAAGACATTCCAAGAAGGCAAATTGGTCTGGAGAGTAATTTTGCCACTGGGCACCAAGGATTGAGAATTAAAAAAATGATCACGCAATTGAGAAGGGGCCATTCAAGATTGCCGAGGTTCTAAGAGCCATCATGTATTGGCTATCTACCCTAGATGACAAACTGCACAGAATAGCAATAAACGGGGAACATTTAAAGAAATACTTCCCTGCCATGTTGGGACAGCTAAACGATAAGTGCAAATATCCAAAAGAACCTGGCCCCACGGACGGATTGATAAACAAAAGGGTCTCCAAATGGCACATAGGCTTGAAAGAAAAGCAAAATATAAAAATCCTGGCCTAACTAGTTTACTGCAGAGGATAGGATGAGAGGTCAATCGGATGGCGGAAGGAGATCATCGAAGGCTTGAGTAGATAGCATTGCCTCTAGCTCCATAAGCCTCTAGTGCTTAGCACGTACCTTGGCCAACTTAGCATTCCAAGAAGTAGCCTGCTCCACCCAACCTGCCACGGGCTCCTTGCATTCAACATGGCTCTGCACCGCCCTCCCCAGAGAAATCCTAAAGTCGGTCCAATGCAGCGGGATGTCGATTTTAGGGACCTCATAGGCAGACAACAATTCACGCACTTGAGAGAGCTAAGTGAGTAGCGCTACTTCTTGAGCCTAGAGAGCCTCCATCTCAGCCACATGGCCCTCCTCCTTTCGAAATGTCGCCTGAGCGATGCAGTAGGCCATGTCAACTGCCGCCAGAAGCTTTTGCTGCTGTGCCTCAAAACCCTTGAGCTCATCACCCAAGTAATAAGGTAGCCAATCTATTTAAGAAAGGATGGGTAATCATTGACACAGGCCACTGTAAAAAATGACTTTTGTTTTATTGCTGTTAAAAATTTAAAAGTCATCACTAAATATTTTCAACGGTGATTTTTTGCTACCAAAGAGTCACCATCAAAAATTTGGTCACTAATAATTTTTGACAGTAACAAATATAGTCATCATCAAAAGTATTTCACTACTAAAATTTTACCTTTGCCAATTGTTGCCGCTAAAGATAAACTTTTGATAGTGACTATATTTGTCACTGTCAAAAATCATTAGTGACCAAACTTTTGACGGCAACCCTTAAGTGACAAAAAGTCGCAAACTTTTGACAGTGACACAAAGTCACCACCAAAAGTAATTTTTTTAAAAAAAAATAAGAGTCATCTCATGTCACGTCAATTGACACCTTGTACCACATCACTTGCCACGTGTGCACCTCCTCATGCCACAACACATGGCACGTCATCCCACCATGTGTGCACCACATCATGCCACGTTGTCATCATGTGCCACGTCACATATTCATTGTGAAATATGCCAAACCAGGATTTGAGCCCATAATCTCCACATCCCAAGTCTTAAGTCTT